ACATGCCCGACTTAAAATAAGCAACGATGGCCGTCTCGACGGCGATGACCAATGAGTCGCGGCGCCAGCCCTCTCATTGCGATAGGCTGGTTGGGCCCAGCGCTGCTCGTCGCGCGACGAACCGCCGAGAGCCGAAGAAGGCCGGCAACGCCGACTCATGAACGGCTCGAAGCCCGACACCCCTGCGAGCGGCGCCCGTGGAGGCCTGCCACCAGGCCGTGTCGGGCAGGGCGCCGCCCAAAACGCAGTCGAACGGATGTCCCGATGGCCTCGCCGTGCCCCTGCAACGCGCTCTCCTGCGCGAGGCCGCCGCGGCGCCGGATACCGTGCGTCAGGGGCGAGACGTCGGCGCAGCGACGGAGAAAAGTGAACTCGGAAACGGGGCAGTGCAAAGCGCTGCCGCCGCTCCGCTTCGCGCGCGCCTTGTTCGCGGCGCCGCGGAAGGACGAGCCATCCTCCAGCGCCCCACTGTTCGCGCCCGCCACGCCAACCATCGTGCCGACGTACTCGTCCGGCGCGTTGGTCGACACTGCGTTGCAGGTGTCCTGGGCGCATTGCGTGTCCCAGCCAGCGAAGGTGACCTCGCAGCAGGGGGGCCGACAAACTTCGCGGTTCTTGTAACGCTCGGCTAACTCCGATGGGGTCACGATGACGGTCCGGGGCCACGAGCCAAGGGCGCATTGTGCGCGACGGTGCCGTCGTCGACGTACTTTTCTTCCTGGAAGCCGTCGGGGAGAGCCCAGGATGATGCGACCCTGCTCGCGGACGCCGGCCAAGAGCCCGCCCCTGCGCCTTAGCCAAATCCCGAAGCAGCGGATTCGTGTTGCCTCCCGCACGCGCGTGGGCGCTTGGCCTGCGCTGCGCGCGTTGTTCATGTGCCTGCTGGACACGCGGCGTCTTTCTTATTCCGCCTGACGCACCATCAAACCTGTCCGTAACCCTGGTGCCGCGTTCCGATTTAGATTTCCTTGCAATCTGCCATCTTGAATCAAACAAATCAGAAATACGGAGGAGGAGCACCCATGTTTTCCAAATCTGCTCTCGCCTTAGCGTCGCGTCTATTCGTCGCGCGTAAAATTTTGCGTGCTGCACGGTTGGTGGCTCAATGTCTTTTAACTGCGGCGCTCGACCTAGCGCCGCGTACATTCGTTTAAACAACTTCCAGCGATTAGGAGGATGGAGGACGGGTGGTTCCCAAAATGCAGCTCTCGTTTTAGTTATGCACACATGCATTTCCACAACTTCTGTCTGTTTCAATTGTACAAGTCGATTTGTGCTCAAACTACGGGTATCACTTCAGATTTCTCCAAAATCTGTGACCGTGCAATCCGCATTGCGCAACGGCTGCGCACATGGAGGTCGGATCCTTCTCACAATGTGGCGTTTGCTTTGTCCCACCAGCCCTCTGGGCGCGGGTGGTCTAACGAGATTTCTCTCCCCCCTTCCAAAAAGCCCTCTTCCCCTATGGGGAAGGGTTAACCTCTCCCCCATACCTCCTCCCCTGAATTTTGTTTGGGTTGGTTCGAAAGGTGTCAGGGCGTCCAACACGGCCTCGGCGAGGACGCCCAAATCATTTGTTTTCCACGGTTTTGGCCCCATTTTTAATTTTTCTTGGGGGGGGGGAGGGGGGGGCCGAACGTTACACCATCTCCTCCTTTGCTCGATGGCCTTCAAGATGGCCCCAAGAGGCCTTCCAGGGCTCCCAAGAGGGCCCCAAGAGAGCCCCAAGAGGGCCCCAAGACCCCTAAAAGAGCTCCAAGAAAGCTCCCCCCCAACAAAAAGCCGAGAAAGCTCCAACAGGCGATTTTGAAGCTCCTGGGAAAGGGCCGAAATCGAGGACCCCCCATCTTTGATCGATGCTCTCCTAGATGGCCCCAACAGGCTTTCTAGGGCACCAGCCGCAGCGCCAGCACAGGCAGCAACAACATCAGCAACACCACCAGCAGCAACTCCTCATTAGATCACTCCACCTCCTTCTCCTCGTCCTCCTCCTCTTCCCCTCGCCCCCACGCGGCCCCCAGGGATGGCCCGAAGAGGCCTTTCAAAGCCACTCCTTTGATCCCAAAAATCTCTCGGTTGATCCTGGTTGCTCTCCTTGCTTTCCTAGATGTGTCCCTTCGTCCCTTTTTCCCGTCATCTTTCGTGGGCATGGCTTCTGAATTGACTGGCGGGGATACGCGAAGCGTGAATAATATTGTCGCACATGTTGTGACCTAGAGTGTGACACCGTCAACCACAAACACTTACAGGGATGAAGGGCACCGCCTCTTCAACGCAACGGGACTACAGCTGGACACTGCCTTGAACGTTGCATCATGCTACCATTTTTTTCCAAACTGGGAAGATGAAACATGGGTCCTTTACAAAACAAGATCTCGCCGGACTAGCGGGGCCACTGGGCGCTCGTCATTCAAGGGGGCGTTTTCCACAGTGGAAGGAACCGTCATACTAGGGGCTTATATGGCGAAGGGCTTTGGGGCGGGGGGGTGCGTTGCAGCATCGTTGACGCATTCTGCGTTTACCCTGGTCCTCCCCCTCCTCTTTGTCCTCCTCCTAGTTTCGTTTCCGAACAGCTTGGGCCGTGCGCGTGAAGAGACACATGCATGCACGGTGGAGGCACAAGGGAAAGGACAGTACATGGGCGGACCCTCCTTAAGAGGACGCCAGCGTTGTAAATGGAGAAAAACATATAAAAGGGGGGGGAGACTTATGGCTCAGACCAATTTCAGACGCTTCCCAGGTCATTGGGCTTTCTAGCTGGCTGACCGGAACATCAGCGTGATGTGGTTTCTGGCCCTTTCTGGCTCGCTCGCGGGCGTCTTTGGCCTCTGTCCGGTCGAGGTCGGCAACAACATCTTTCGGCAATTGGCTGAGAGTCGCCACAACGACAAAACTGCATTTTTCCGAACGTTCCTCCACATGGGTCACCACTCTCACGCGGGTGTGGAATAACTGCATACATGCACGACAATGGTTGGTATCAATCAAGTCGCGCGCGCGGCGCCTCACACCATGCACTGAGAAAGCATGGGTGGCCAACTTCTGTCTCGAGTCGCAAATGTACGAACAAGAAAGGCACGACAAAATACTGTTCACTTCGGCCATGCGCCGGGTTTGAGCCCACGTCCTCACCTCATTAAACGCTCGTTCTTGCCTGGCGTCTTTCGGCGCCGCTCTGAAGCGTTTCGGATTGGAACGGGTCACTGGAATCCATTATTGTATGGGTTTGGTTGCGTACTCTGAAAACGAGCCAGAACGCGAGGACAGCAAGTCCAAATCAGCAGAAACGGCATGCATCCAAGACCTGCGTACCCCAATGGTGCGGCAAGCGCAACGCACAGAGCACGCGGGGCCCGCAAAAACACTTTGCTGAAAAGCCCCACCCGCATGCACCAGATCATCGTCGCAGGTGCGATGAAAGACTCATGCTCAGAAATGGATGCGTGAGATGGGCAACGAGGGTCCTTCGAGTCTCCTTTCAGCACTGATGAGTACTCCTCCTTTTCCTGTTCCTTCTCTTCCTCCTCCCTCCCTCACTCCCTCCCTCCCTCCCTCCCCCCCTCTCTTCCTCCTTGCGCCCCTGCTCTCCCATCCTGCTGGGGTTTCGGGGGCTGCCTGCCTGAGCGGGGAGGAGGAGGAGAAGGAGGAGGAGGAATGGCAGAACGATGATATAAGACGGCAAGAGCCAAAACGACACGAGAAGAACGGGCCCGTGGCCTCAGACACGACCCCGTAGATGAAGACGCGACACGCGACGAAAGCCAGGAAACCAACGAGGACCACATACCGGCGATGGCCTCAGGATCGAAGACCACATGCCGGCGATAACCTCAGCGTCCGCATTCATCCGAAAAGAGAAACCCGAAGCCGAAACGCCATCTTCCTGGCGGCACTCTGCTTCCCACGCAAGTCGCTCCGCCAACGTTCCCACCCCCTGTGGCGTTGTCAGTGGGTTCGGGGTCTTCCACGCGTCGCGGGCCTCCGCTCGGATTTGCACGCTATCAGGGTAGATGACTTTATGCCACAAGTTCGCCCTCCCCGGCCGCCGACAAGACAACCCCGACACGGCCGATGTATGTCCTTTCCGTCACACTCACGAAGCGATTCACGAATAAGTCCAGCGGCCAGGCCGAGCGTCGGCAAAACTCAAAGAGATCCATCCTCAACTCATCATCGTCCAAGCAATTTGTGCTTAATTATTATCTCCCGTACCACTCGCGGAGGAGCCATACAGCAAGGGAGCGAACCACCCCCACCATAATCCTGCACAGCAGCTCCGCCAGGGGAAATTCCGAAAGAACTGAGGCTCCGTTCGAGAGTGGTCTGGAACTTCACCTGGGCGTCCGCCATGGGCTTTCGAAGCTCCGCCAAGAAGGCATCGATATTTCCACCATCCGCGCGATCACCAGGAGAAACCCAACCACCGCCTCTAGAACTGCCAGAACACCCCGCTGCTGTAACCACCTGAATACCACGACCACGAAGATTGAGGGCCACTCGCAGGTCGTCATCCTCATGGTATCCGTCGACGTCCAGCACGTATATCATGAAGTCCACCATGTCGCTGGCGCCCTGGTTGTCCCATGTGGCAAGAAGCGCGGGAAATGCAGGGTTACCGGCAACACAACCGCGAAGAATACCCGATGCAACCTTTGACCGAGATGCGCAATAGCCCGCACCGTAATCACTATGTGCATCCTCATGCGAATGCTATCGAAGAAAGTGGCCTCGGCCACCTGGCAAAGCATTGAGTGCATGGAAAACAAATACCAGTGGAAGCACATTCGCCTGAACATCTCCATCAGCCAAAAGATTATGAGCGACCCCACGCGCAGGACGACGATGACCATGCTGCCATCGTTGTGGGGGTAGCGCCACGGCCGACCACGGGTCCCCACCAGGACAATGTCAAGAATCAGCCGCATCGTGACCATGACGGTCGCGGGGTCGACGTCGCCACGTATCATCACCACCACCATGAGGACCATCGTCATCGTCACTCAGCTCGCCTTCAGGGTAAGGAGGCACGCAACGACGATTCATCCAGAGAAAGACCTCCTGCCGCCCATCAATGTGGCGATGTCCCCGACCCACCGTACGACAGCCGTCAGCCAGCTAGAGTTGGACTCCTTCATCGCGATCATGTGGGTGCGCGAGATTGGAGAACAAGGCATCGTCGTACTAGCCAGGGTGAAATTGATCTTCATCCGCCCCTGCAAAGCCGATGGACTCGTCGGCATGTGCACCAACAAACCGCCAATCACCTTTGGCCGTAGCCATGCGAGCCGCGCAACGACCGCTATGGCGGACCCGCTGTGCCGAGGCCGCCACTGGCGCAGGCGCGCCCAGGAAGTCTCGTGGACAGGCACGTGCCTGAACAAAAAGGGCACAGGAGAGGAGGAGGAGGAGGAGGAGGAGGAGGAGGAGGAGGAGGAGGAGGAGGACGGGGAGGAGGTGGTGGAGGAGGGGGGGGGATGGGGGAGCGGAGGGATGGGCAGGGATGAGGGTGAGGGCGGGGGCGCGAGGGGAGGTCGGCGTGCCGGGGTCCTCCGATGGGGGGGGCGCCGACGGTCGGGCAAAGAGGTCGGCGCCCGACTCCCGAGGGATGCTTTGAGCCTCGAATGGCTCGGGACAGAATTGCCGCGGGGCGGATGGGACGGGAACCGAGGAGGGAGGGCGGGGATGTGCACGAGGGGAGGGCGGGAGGAGAGACGAGGCATCAGGGGGCGCGAGGAGGAGAAGGAAGAGGAGGAGGAGGAGGAAGCGGACGAGGAGGAGGAGGATCATCGGCGGGATGAGGAGGAGACGCGAGGAGGACGAGGGGGGAAAGCGAGGAAGAGGAGGACGAGGAGGGGGAGCAGCAAACAACACCAACCGCCATCGCCTTCAGAAGAACCCATCAAATGGCTAGCCAACAGTACTACCAAAAAAGGAAGACGCACAACGACATTGGGACGTAGTGACACGGCTTGCCTGGCTAGAGTACGCCCACGAAACACCCACGCATTACAACAACCAAATAGACAGAGCCAAATGCAGAGAGCACGTCCACTTCAACGACAACTTGTGCACAACTATAGTAGGGCAACAACACATGCACCGGCTCGACTACGACAATTGCGACGCAGCACCAAACAGCAGACATCTGCTACGAATGTGGAAACACATCTCTTTCAATTGGAGAATGGGGAGCCCATCGCGCTAGAAAACACCCACGACCAGACGACGCCGCTAATGAAATGGAGCAACTGCCTATGCGGCAAAAAAACAATTCCACACACGACAAATAATGTTCACGCACTTACGATGCAGAGTGGCAAGATGCAACCAGCAATAGATGCAGCAAGTACCCGCACTAGCACCAAACACAATAGCAGCTATACAACAGAACGACAGCATGGAAACCAGAGCTAACAAGGACGACGATACCAGCAGCAATGCCAGAGGGCCACAGACGACAACCTCGCCTCCAATCCGACATAGCAGCGCCGCGAACAACCATGATCACAGAAGAGCAGACCCATCGGCAACCGCTCGGCGACACGAAAAAAGAAGCATCTCCCCAGCGTCCGACGGCGAAGCGCTCCATGTAGATGAGGTCCAGCGAGATGGACATGACCTCGAAGAACAAGGAGGAGGTGATCGTCGACCTGCTGGGCGACATGAAGATGGCGATGAACGCGCTGACGACCAGGGTGCAGAAGGTCGAGGAGAAGAACTCACCGTCGAACGGCCCATCTCGGCCTGGCGAGCCAGTCAGGTAAAGGACATGACCGACTCCCAGACTACCTGGCTGGCGGAGTGTATGGACAAGAGTGTGACGCCAGCGTGGACATTCCTGACAGGGACTGCTCACGTGATCCTGATGGAGGTCTGCTGCTTACCAGTGTCGGGCCTCTCCAGCTTCGTGATGTAGAAATCAGGGAGGGACAGTGCAATACGAATTAGTGGCTGGAATGGTTTTGACTTGTTCACCACTGCTGGCCTACAGAAGGCCAGAACTGAGCGAGAGCGTGTACGTCCTATCCATATGTGGTTTTCTCTTCCTTGCGGGCTTTGGTCTGGGAATCAGAATCTCAATTTACACAAGCCGGAGGTCTGGGAGCAGGTCTTGCAAAGTCGGAAGAAGTCCAAGCGACTGATCCGCAACTGCCTGACTTTGGTCATGAACCAGATAGCGGACCGAGGGCATGTTCACTGGGGGTGGCCAAAGGGTCCCCAGCTGTACCCATGGCCAGAGCTGAAGCAAGTCTTCCGAGAAGGTGAACTTCAACCCGTGGTGTGTGACGGGTGCGTGCTGGGCGTCACGGCTCGAGATGCTGGACTCTTGATGGTCAAGCCGTGGGAGATCTGGACGACCTCAGAGAAGCTACGTCAGCGGATGTCGGTCAGGTGCGACGGGCGCCATGAACACAGCCGCTGTGTCGGAGGTGCCAGGACTGCGTCTTCAGCGTAGTATCCAAAGCAATTCGTCCGCCGAGCTGATCGAGCTCTGCTGGAGGAGCCCAAGATGGAGGAGATCTGCAACCTCGCGCGAGAGTTTGAGGCAACGAACGAGGAGTCTGACACCGTCTACGCTCTCATTCCGTCGGCACAGAAGATTGACCAGACCGAGCTGCGGAAACGCAAGGTCGCCGCCAGACGCATCCACGCTGCCTGTGACCACTGCCCGTTCGTGCAGGTGGCCAGGTCTCTGGCGGCGAAAGGGGCTGACAAGCGGATCGTGGAGCACGTGAAGAACACGCGGTGCCCGGCCTGCGAGGGGAGCCAGAAACACGGACCACCCAGACCTGTGGGATGGGCCGATGCGGTGCCGAAGAACTGGACGGTGCTGCAGAGCGACCTGGTCGAGTGGGAGAACCCCTGCAGCAACGAGACGTTCAAGTTGGTCTTGTGCCTGGACATGGGATCCAAGCTCGGTGTGGGACATGTCCTGTTCCAGATGGTCAAGAGTCGGAAGGCCACAACCGAGGACCTGAGCTCACTCTGGAGCCGTTGGATGGCGTATTTCCCACGTCCTCTAGGGTGATTCAGGTAGATCCCGAAGGCGCGTGGATGAGCAACGCCATCCGCGAGAATCTCGAGGCCAGCAGCATCCAGATGGATCCCATCCCTGGCCAGGCCCACTGGCAGATCGGTGGGATCGAGCGGCTGGTCGGCCTCATCAGGGATACCATGACCGTCTTGGCAAGAGAGTGTCCTGGACGCTCTTGTGAGGAGTGCCTGGCCAGAGCCATGGCCGCCTACAACGAGTTCGAACGACACCGAGGTTTCTCTCCCCTGCAGGTGGCGCTGGGTCGAGCACCAAATCTCGATGGTTTCTTTCTCGACGCTCCAAGTGACCCCGTGAACTTGCCGGCGTCGGAGTCACAGGCGGTGGACGCATAGTTCGGGCAGAATTTCAAGTTCATGCGACAGGCGCAGGAGGCCCTCCCCAAATGGGTCTACCCAGAGCGCGCGAGACGCGCAGCTCACGCGAGGTCTCGGAAGCTGCAGGTCTACACGCTAGGCACCTTCGTCGATTACTTCAGGAATCCGAAGAGCAGCTCCATGACTGGACATTTCTACGGACCAGCTCGGGTACTTGCAAGTGAGACGGTACATCGAGACGGAGAAGCTCAAGCCCGTCCTCGGGTGTGGCTCAACGCATGCGGCATACTCATGGGGTGCGATCCCTGCCAGCTACGGGATGCATCTGACCGCGAGGTGGCCGAGCACGAGATTATTCATGGCGCTGAGCTACCGAGCAACCTTAGACCTGGACAATCCGAGGACCTGGCGGACGACCCGCGCCTGATACCGAGTGACACGGAGTTCGCCGATGCTGAGCACACTCCTCCACTGCCGACGGTTTTTCCTCTAGATGAAGGTCCTCAGCGGCGCCGTATCGCTGGAAACAGGCCGCCTCAGGAGCAGGGGTCAGCCTCCAAGCATCAGCGAATCGAGACAGAGACCAGGAGCCAGCAGTCACTACCCGATCGAGTGGCAGCACCAGATCCTGGGCCGTTTTCTGCGACCACAGCGAGGCCGCCGAACAAGTCCAGGACAACACCATCGAGGGCATCCCCTTACACGTGGGAAGGTCTACCATCGGCGGGGTCGGCAAGCGGCGAGGAGAAGACGGCTGGACAGCAGCGACACGATCAGGCCGAGGAACGAGACCTGGTGGCGGCGGTGCAGCCCTTCGAGTGCTTCTGGCAGAATCTGGAGAACGCCATCGAGGTCAAGATCAGCCTGCCTGAGTGTGCCCGCGGGGGATCAGCGGTAAGAGACCTGGCCGCATTCGCGGCGACACCGCTCAAGAGACAGCGGGTTGAGGTCAAGGAGCGCACTCTTTCCGCGGCCGACCTGGAGAAGTTCGGGCAGGCCAAGTCCAAGGAGGCGCAGGAGTGGATCAAAGAGATGGTTCTCCGAGCCCTACCGGACCACTCCTCGGCCCCAAGTGACGGGTCGATGTTTCTTCGGCTGGTCCTGACCTGAAAGATCGATCCTGCAGGACCTGGAGGCCGGCGAGCCAAGGCACGGCTGGTCATCCTGGGCTTCCAGGACTTCGACCTGACCACCGAGGAGGCTCACGCTCCGACGGCCACGCTGACGGCGAGACGGGTATAGTCCTGCAGGAAGCGGCGCACCTCAAGATGCGCGCGGTCACGGGCGACGTGAAGGCAGCGTTCCTGCAGGGTGAGGAGCTGGACAAGGTCCTCTTCGCCAGGCCGACTGGCGAGATCGCGGAGATGCTTGGATTATGGCCGGGACACGCGACTACTCTGAAGAAATCAGCGTACGGTCTCGTGCAGGCCACGCGGGCGTGGCACAAGGCGGTCAACCGGAAACTGACGGAGCTGGGCTGGAAACACCTGAAGTCCGATCCGTGTGTGGATCCTGACCAGACGGGCAGCCACCGGAGGTCCTGATCATGTTGTGGCCATCGTTTTGTCTCACGTAGATGACTTCCTGTTCGCCAGTCGAGAGACAGACGAGGTTTGGCGACGATCACGACAACAGATGTTGGAGGCGTTCAGATGGACCGAGAGGGAGTACGATACTTTTACCCAGTGCGGGGTAGACATCGCCCAGCGGTCCGACTTTGGTTTCACACTGAGCCAGGCCACGTACCTACACGGACCAGATCGAGGAGATAGAGGTGCCATCTGATCGGAGACGGCAACTTTCGTCCCCAGTGGCGGCATCAGAGACGATTCAATTTCGCGCAGCTACTGGGAAGTTGCAGTGGAAGGGTACCCAGACAGGCCCAGACATCCTGGCCGAACTGAACTTGCTGCAAAGCAAGACGGAGTCATGTACCGTGGAGGCCCTCGTGAAGGTCAACAAGCTGATCAAGCGCGCGAAAGAGACGAAGGATCGGGTGCTGGAGATCCTCCCGTTTCCCGGGTCCAAGCTGCTGGCGGTGGTCGGCTGGGGTGACGCGGCGTTCGGGAACTGGGTGGATGGCAAGTCGGCCGAAGGACGGGTGCTGGTAGTTGTGCCTCTGAGTTCTCTGTCGGGAGAGAAGACTGGAATTTCTTTGATGAATTGGCGCTCAAGCCAAGGTTGAGCGTACGTGTCGTTCTCCTCCAGCCGCGGAAGTGTCAGACACAGTCACTACTGAGGATGAGGTTACGTATGTGTGTTTTCTTTCGGCAGGGCCCTCAGGATGGAAAGCAGACCTCTGAGACCCCTGGAGCGAAGTTCGGAGAGTCCCTGGTTGTTTGATCACAGACTCCAAGAAACTCTATGATCGTTTGAGGTGCCCAGAGAAGCTACTGAGCGGGAAGGGGTTCAGGACAGGTTTAGAATTGATTGCCCTTCGAGACGGTATAGAAGCGTGTGAATGTTCAGTGAGATGGGTGCATAGTGATGCGATGTTGGCTACCAGTCTCACCAAGTGCCATGCAAGATGGCAGCTGTAACTCTTTTTCAATAGCAAATGCCGTTGGCACCTAGTGCACGATCAAATGTTTGAGCCAACTAAACGTAGGAAATGGTCTCGGCATCCAGGCGTTAGAACGAATTGTTTGTGCCGATGTCCGTCCAAACCTCTATGGTGAGATAATCACTTCCGAAACGGCCAAGTGATCTCCCGTGTCTTGCCTCAACCTGTTTTAATGGACTTTGAACGAACATGTTTTTGGACCGGTGCCGATTCCGCGATGCATAGTGATTTGCTCCGTCCATAGCAAGTTGGCTGGAGTCATTCAGTGGGGCCTCAGGACCTCCAGGGTCAGGAGTGACCCCCTCGCTTTCCCATTCTCTCAATACTTTAACGAGCCCAATACTTCACCCACCTCTCTCTCATCTCGTGCAGCGTGATAGTGAAAGCCAGGTTCCAGGGGGAGCACCTGAGAGGAGCCAGCGGCGAGACAGGCTGGCCAGAGGGGAGAAGAAAGGTGTGTACCCTGTGGAGTTTCGCTTCGCACCCTCATCTCTCTTCCCCTTCCCCTTCTCCCTTCCTCCCTACCTCCTCCCCAGGACGCGATTTCTCTCCATGGCAAAAGCTCCTCATAAGAACAAGGGTGACGACCTACCGCTGAAAGAGACACAAAAGGCTGCCCACGTTCGTGCACACCTTGCCCACCGCCATCGTCAAACTTTGGCCACGTAGTCTTCGGGATACAAGTATCCTGAGCAGGAGGAGGGGGGGCAAAGGTAGAATTCGCCGGCCCAACGGGCCAGAGGCGTGCTAAGATCCCCGGTAACTACTTAACAATATTTCTAGTTCGCGCGCGCGGGGCGGCCCCTGGGGGGCCCCGGACGAAAAAAAACCCGGCTGATCCCTGGCCGGGTCCCGGGCGATCCCCAGGGGGGAGGCTATTTTTCGTCACCCCTCACAAGGATCGTGACCTCTGAGGGGGGGCTGCAATCGACTACCCCCCCTCCCGCCCCAAGGGCCCCCAAGAGCCCCCCAAGAGGCCACCAAGAGCCCAATACGCCGCCAAGGAGCCCCAAAACGCTCCCCAAATGGCCCCAAGAAGCCCCCAAGACGGCCCCAAGAGGCCTCAAATAACGCTCCAGAGCCTGCGGAATGAACGAAACGATTAAATAGCAAGAAGCGTTATAAACATGATTTCTCGGATGTCGGCACGGATATCGGCGCTCCCTGCGCGCTGCGCGCCAGGGGGGCGCCAGGGGCGCCGACCCAAGAAATCCGCGCGGACATCTGAAAACTTTTGTTTATTCAGTTTCCTGCTCCTTGGGAGGTAGAAAACGACGGGGTGCGGGGCATCCTGGGCCTAGGGAGACTCAGGAGCAAAGCGGGAGGAAGAAAACGAAGGGGAGGCGGGGTAACGACACGAATGGGCACAGAGCATCGCGAGAAGGGGAAGGGGGGGGGGGCGTGCTTTGGGTGGGTCCGCCGAAGTTTCGCCACGTTGCGTACGCTAGGTAGCTCGCGCCGCACATATTGCCCCGCGTAGTTTGCGTAGTTTCTTTGCCAGACAAGCGGACTCCCCTGCAAATGTGCGGTGTGAAAATGATGTAACATCGGTATCCTCCGTACTCTAGAAATCACGTAACGACATGGCGGCGATGTCAGCTAAACTGATATGCGCGCGACATGAGCGCGGGACGAGGATACGCCGACGCGGCGACGACCCGACGCGCGCTCCGTTCTCCTCGCGCGACGCTGGGCCCGCCGGGGCCCCTTGATCACGAACCAAATAACAAAGGAAAGGCAGCGCGGCGCATCGGCAGCGGGCGGCGGCGGCGGCGCAGAGACGGCGGAGGAATAAGTTTAACAACTCCCCGCGAGGCGGGATGCGCGGGCCCAAGAGTTTCAACTCCCTTCTGAACTCGTCGGTCTCGCGCCGCCCCCGAGCGCTTTGGCCCCCCTGGCGCCGGCCGCCGAAATCAATTTTACGGCGCGCAGAGCGGAATAACACCTACTACCGTTGTTATGAGCTCCCTTGAAGAGGGCCGAGGCAGACCGACGTATCCCGCACCTTCCATGCGCGCCGAATTCAATGTAGATAATAATTTTCACGGCCTGGAAGATTTGTCGTGTTCTTGTGCATCAGGTAGGGTCAACGCCGGTAGAACCAGCCTCGCCTCCTCCTTTACGTTCACAGGTGCCTTCGTGACCAAAAGTACCGATCGTAGTCATGTGCAATCCAATGTTGCCACCGCTGTTCATGGCGAGTGTAAGCCCAATAGTCACCGCTGCCCACGTGGTAGTGCGGCGAGATATCCCAGCGGCCAGTTCTCCGCGGCGTCGAGACCCCACTGCGCGGCAGAATTGGCTTTTGCATGGCAGAAGCTTCGGCCGCAGATGCCACTGGTGGCGCGTTCGCTGCTCTTGGCACACCTGCTTCGTTATGCGCAACATCCGCTCACGCCCTGCGCGTTCCTGAAGCGGAGCGGGGGCCTGGGCGGCGACGGCGTCGCGCCCTTGCGCGGGCTGCGGCTCCTCGTTGGCGCCGACGGCGGCGTGGGCAGCGCGCGGCGATGCGGCGGCCGCGCTCGCGCTGGGCTCTGGCGCCGCAGTTTCTCGCGGTCACAAGGGCAAAACAAACCTACCTCGCTTCTGACCACCCTCGCTTCCAAGAGATACCAAGCGATGCCAAACCACGGCCTGTGCTGGTCAGGCCGCTCGACGAGGAGGCGCGCGGCGCGCCTTGGTTTTGCTTGGAATCGAAGCCGGGGTAGGTAATTCGCGCTCTGAGGTCTAGCGCATGTTTTTTCTTCGAATGCGACGCTGCCCGTCGAGCCGGTTGCGTCCCTCATGGCATTAATTCGCGCCGAACTGGCGGCCGCGGGCGCTCCGCTGGCGGGCGCCGATGGTTCTGCATCAACAGCGCTCGGCGAGATCTGGGCTTCGGACGTCGAAGCCGCCGCCGGCTGGGCTCCGAAGGCGCTTGATTCGATAGCGGGGCCTCAGCGCTGTTTGTGCGCTCGGAAACTTCCGAGCGCATTCGCATAGCAAAAAATCAATTCTTAACGTTGGTTGATTAACAGATCCCAGAATTCTGGGTTACCGCTGGTCGCTTCTTCGCCCCATTCGACCTGACCTTCGAACTCCCCAGTGCCTTCCTGGATCGATCGCGATGCTTTCCTCGCCTTGGACCTGAAGTTGAACCCCGGATCCCTGATGTATTGCTATGCTTCGGCGAACTCCCTCACTTCCGCGTCTAATGCACGGGCGTCTTTTTTTCCACTTGCATATGGCAATATTATGATCCCAGCGGCGTTTCCAAATTGACTGCGTCGCCAAATAATGCAGCATATCGTTGTCCCATAACGCATCTTTGACGCGTTTTCGAAAGAGCCCTGGAATCCCGGAGGATCGCGCAGCTCAAGAATGACTGGATCTTCCCATGCCAAAAAAGACCCATGCATCTGGCAATATGTCAAAGATAATCCACAACATCATTGCCTCCCCCCCCCTTCCTTCAAACATTCCGACATGCCTTGGCGCGCGGCGCTCCTTGCAGCAAAGACCGACGTCTCAACGGCAAGCGCGGCTGAGGGGTCAGTGGCTAAGTCGATAACCGCCCGGTCATCTTTTCTCTGGGATCGAGTATCACCGTCTTTTTCCCCCCTCAAGAGCGCCCCCGCATTTTGCTTCTAGCCAGCTGCGGCTCCGCGCGTGCAAGATTGAACGTGGATAGGTCGTCGTCGTCGCCTCCGTCGACGTCGTCGTCGAGCCCGACAGCCGCGGGTCGTTGAACATCCTCCGGGCCCGGGCTCGATGGGATCATGGTGAAATCGCAGAACGTCGACCTGTCAGCCCCCAGGCCCATCAAGACATCTTTTCGTCGTTCTATCGATCTCGATGCGCGACGCTGGCGATTCCAGATCTCTTTCATAATCCTTGCCGGGCAACCCGCCAATGATTCAAATGTCGGCGACGGATTGGCCGCTCCAGTCTGGACTGTTGAGTCCACCGTCGAACGGGCGCCCAACGGCCGGCTTGCCGCGGGGGCATCCGCCCCCTGTGCTTCCGATCATTCCTCCCAGGCTTGCCATCCGACGGCGGGGGGGATGTGCTCGTCGCCAACTCCTTCCCACGCGAATGCCACTAACGGCGGGCATGACATCGGCATGGCAGTCAGATCAATGCGCTGCCAGAGAACAGGCCACCCATCAGCCGTTCTCGCGCCGTTTTTCTTCCAATTTGTTGCATGCTAGTAGCATTCTTTGAAGAAGATCCAAATATCGGAAATGTGCTTCGTGGCGTGTCGGAGGTTTACCAGCGTCGTTCTCTGCCTTCCATGATTGAACTGATCCAGGCTGATTGGCATGGTGGGCCATGCCTGCTTTCGACTTTGCATGCCGACTATCCTTCCTCTCAACCATTGACTTTTGCGCGAGCAGGCATCGGGGCGTTTCCTGGGCGTCTATCCGTTGCCTTCAAAATGGCCACTCCCAAACTTGACTGGCCTCTTATAACCTCGCTGCTGTACGCGTGAACCAATATTTTCGAGCGGCTTCGCCTCGCGATAAGCACGTGGGTTCCCGAGCCTTGCGATGTTGATCTTGCAGCGCGGGTAATGGCCCCATCCTGGGCGAAAGCTGTGTAGGTGTGTGGAAATGTAACGCCCGTCACCATCCAGCGGTAAAGTCTAGAGTTCACGCTCTGCCTCTGCGATGGCACCGTCGCCGCCGACTGGGCGGGTCAGTTCGTCGGAACGAAGGTGAGCGACGACACTGCTGCGACTGGATTCGATCTGTAAGATAACCCGATCGCGGTCGTGCAATTTAGTCCATGTCGTCCTGACAACGCCGTCGTCGCGAACATCGTGTTTGAATGTCATGGTTCTAGTAATGAAAGCCCACTCTGGTCTCTGCGTCGATGCCGGCGCCCCGTCCGTGGCCACCCGGAATCTAATCGAGGAATCCGACCGTGGAGACTTGCAATGCTTTCCCTCTGCGTTTGATGTTCTGGGTGCGCGATCCCAAACTGGCCCACCAGCTCAGACTCCAATCGCCCCGACAAAGGCAGGTTCGCGCCTTCAGAGTGGGCGTCTGCAGAGGGCGGGCCATCTTCGACGGAGCGCCTCCACGAGCTGAGCCAAGCAGGGATCGCGTCTTGTCCATCATCCGACGATACACATGTCATCGCAGGGGGCAATCGTAGAAAATGAAAGCCCGGGCTCGCGAACATGCCCTGGTCCCCTTCTGGGTACCGTGTATTTCTCTACTGCGACTGTAGCAAGGCATTCTCTGACGTGACACGCAACGGAGGGCCATGAGAGAAAGACAGACTGATGTAACCACATGGCGCGCACATTCGATCTATGTCAACAGCGCCAATGGAATGCCCGAGTCAGCGCCCGATCGCGCTAATGGAATGCCCGATGGAATGCCGCTGTCGCATGGCCCGAATCAGCGCGGGGATAGGGATGGTCGAACGTTTTTCTCTGTCCTTCGTTCGACAAGTGTTTGCTCTCACTCCACTGTTTCCAGAGAGCTTGAATGGGTCGACAAAGCCGGTGATGATCGCCTTCCTGGACGCCCGAGATCTGATGCAATTGGGCGATAGCAGTGATGCTAGATGCATCGCCTGGGCCAAGATTTTGTAATTAAAACCGCCTCTGAGAATGTTTATCAGAATGTCGCTGGGTAGACGCAACGCTCCTCAGTTCCTGGCGCGGCCCGAACAGTGCCTGAGACCGTGCGCAAGTCA